AAACAAATGTTAAAAATTGTTTTCACATGTAACTGGGAAATAAGATATACAGACAATGGGGTATAGAAATCTATCCTGCCCTATAGGAAAATAGAAGAGGAAGGGGATAAGAGAAGCTTGGGGGAGATAGAAGGGAGGGCAGATTAGGGGAAGGGGTATTCAGAACGCACGCTGTCTTGGGGTTGAGGGAGGGACGAGATGGGGAGAAAATTTGGAACTCAAAATCTTGTGGAAGTGAATGTTGAAAACTAAAAATAAGTAAATTAATAAATCTAAAAACATTTTTCTTTTTTTCTTTTTTTTGTCTTCCCTCCCCTCCCCCCATGGCCACCATTAGACATGAATATATATAATGAATATATATATATAATAGTATATATATATATATACACACACACATATACATAAAATTATTCTATACATACTTCCATTTATCACCATGACTTCTTTTGAGCATAATTAGTCTAATCTAGTTGTTTATTTCACCTTTGTTATACCTAGTGCCATTTCTACTTCTTCACGAAATTTATATGGAACTATGACCTTAAGGGTTCAAATGCATTGGCTACTGTTGTTGATAGAAAGAAAAAAAGAGTTGACTGTAGAAACATTTATAGCTCTTTTTCATTTTTTATCTATTGTCTTCTTTCTACTATCATACTAAAATACTCTAAGGAATGATCTGTATCAATTAGATTTCTCTATAGACTTACCTTTTTCCTTGTATTGCTTCTCACTGTTTTATGAGGCAATGTTGATCATAATCTTCCATCTTCATCCTCTGTTAGATTTTACAAATAAGCTCCTGGTGTTTCTTTTGGATGTTATATTTTTCCACTTGTTAAGAGATTAAATATTTGACAATTAAGGAGGTTCTGTTAATCTCCTTGTTATAATGATTGCTTTTCATCAGTTAGACTTTTTGTGAAATGATGGCAGTTGGTATGTCAGTTACCTGTTCTTTCTTCCATTTCCCATTTTTCAATATGAATAACTTATTTGTCAGGTAGAGTTGTCTCAGTTCAATGTATCTTCTTGTTTTTTTCTTTTGTATTTAATATTGATTTTGATCTTTGCACTAACAAGGAAATGACCTGTCTGTAAACAGCTAATTTGGAAATGATTCACATCAGTATTTTTTGTTTGTTACTTTATAATCAATTTTATTTCTTTTATTCAGTGCTCAATATGTCCAATACTTCCTGGCTCTATTCTTGAAGAAAATATTCATTACATATTAGGTGTAAGGCTTCTCTGTATTCTGCCAGCCTTTGGCCTCTGTTATTTTTTCTTCCTGAACTATGTTTTTAAAAATATTTTTCCCTGTCCTCCTTCATGCATATTTTTGCATTGAAGGAGAGAAGTACAGAAGGAATAAAAATTGCTACAAGTCCAAATCTTGTTTAAGCCATCTACCAGACAGGGAGTATTTTATTTAAAGGAAGTATTTTATTGAAGGAAGAAGAGAACCTACCCAAGAACCACAGACAGGAGAGAGGAAAGATCAATATATACATTCCCGTGGACTTCAAATCCTAGTGGCTGGTGTAGACATCTTCCCCACAGGAAATTCTTTAGCACTTTCAGTGACTCAGACAATGGGGTTCTCACCACTTCCCTTGGGAATTTGGGCCATGTCTCATCTGTTTCTTCCTGGCTACTCAGCCACAAACTCTCTTCCTATGAATACTACAACTTCCGTCACTTAAGCCACGAAGTTTTGATTCATCCCAGAGGGAGCTTATAGGGGGAACTCATGTCCTATGGTGAAATCAGCCAGAGTCCCTGGTCCTCTAATTCAAGAAAGGTCCAGTGTTTATTTCTGCCCTGCTGAAAGTCCATCCTGCCAAAATAAATTATCTTTGTCTTTTCTTGATCACAGTTCTTTTGGAATCTCTGCCTTTCCCTCACTCCCATCACCATCAAAAGAACCCTAACCCTGAAGAAGAAGAAGAAGAAGAAGAAGAAGCACAATATAGCAGAAAGCATAAGATTCTGAGTCAGAAGACCCATTCCTCTGTTTCCTATTTCCTAGCTGTGTGACTATGAACAAATCAGTTATTTAAGCCTTAGTTTCTTTGTCTATAAAATGGGATAATAATACTAATATTACATATTATATCATGTTATATTGTATCATATCATATCATATTTTATTCTATTCCCTAACAGGAGAGATGGATAGAGAGAAAACCTGGGAGTCAGAAAAATCTGGCCAGGTAATACATGCTGATTCTGGGCAAATCACTGAACTTCTCAGTACAAGCAATTCTCTGAAACCTTAAGTTGGAGAGGAGTTGCTGATTTGTATTGGTAGGTGTTTCCTGGCAGGGAATTCCCTATACCAATGAAATTAAAGTTCCAAATCCCCTTCTCTACCCTTATGCCCATTATACCTCTCTCACCCAGTTTTGAGGAAAACATTTTTAAATCCTCATATATTATTTGAGTTATTATCAAGTTATTATTTTAAATCCTCGTATATTATTTGAGTTATTATCAAATCCTCATATATTATTTGAGTTATATCAAGAGTTCCTGTGGCCCCCAAATGGATTATCCTGTGACCAATCTGGTTTTGAGCTTCTCTGAACTTAGCTTGTCCTTTCTTGTACTCTAAGCCTTTTTAGCTTGGTGGGGTCTGCTAGAGCTAGACATAGGCTTGGAGAACACAGTGTTGTCTCCATGCCATGATAAAACATACAGAGAGGACCTCGGTGGAGGAGTTTTTGTTATATTATTGTCAAATTTGATGCAACAAACTGGATCTAATGCTTCTTACTTCCTGTAAAAATAATGTTCCTGCTATCCCTTTCTTTCTGTGAAGAAGGGAGCTTTGAACCAGCTCCCTTGACTCGTACTAAGAATAGTGGCCTCAGGAATAATAGGTCAAGCAGTTAAAGTTGTGAAAATGCTCAGGATCTGGCCTCATAAACCCCTTTTACTCCAGGATGAGAAAAGCCATGTACAGGCTACTCTATCAACAATATAATTCCAAATGAGCTTTCCCCTCTAATTAGCTGGTATTTGCTAAAACAGCTGTTATCTTTCTTATTGTAAAGTCCAGAGGAAAATGGATACTTATTTCCTAACCTGATGGGGACTTTTATTTAGTTTCATTTTTTTTCTTGACACCGTACCCTCCTTGAAGGGAGCTATTACTTAGAAGTGTTACCTCATTGGGTTACTAATTAAGAAAAGGTAATTCCTCTGATTATTGTAACCTCCTTGCCCATCCTTCACCATATAGCATCAAAATAGAAGTTTCTTTAGAGGTGGCAACCTCTTTTATTCCTCTCTCTAAACACACAACAGCAAAGTGTTTTACATAAGTTGACTCGTCTGTCTGACATAACTGTGAACTTGTGTTAGGCCCCAGATGTCTTGGAATTTGGAGCCCAGCTCCTGGAGATAACATGGCTGAATCACATCATTCTTTTGTGCTTTCTAACAGAAAGGCATTGTGAGATTTCATGTATTTAAAAGCACTTTGACCCTTTAGACCAATACCCTCTGACCCAGAAACCCCACTGCTAGGCATGTACCACAAGGAAGTAAATGACAAAAAGAAGGGTCCTCATATAAACCAAAATAGCAACACTTTTTTGTAGCAGCAAAGAAATGGAAACAAAGTGGATGCCCTTGGTTGAAGAGTAGTCCAACAAACCTTGGGTATGCTAATATAATGGAATATTACTGTATTATAAGAAATTATGAAGATAAATACAAAGAAGCATGGGAAACCTTATATGAACTGATGCAAAGTGAAGTAAGCAACAAAAGAATACACACACACACATACACCCACACACACAATGACTACGACAGTGTAAGTGAAAAGAGCAACAAAATCGTAGAAACTGAATGATTTCAAATTATTATGATCAAACTTGCTCCCCTAAAAGAAATATGAGAACATACCTCCTTTTTTTCTTTGCAGAGATTGAGGATTCTAGGTATGAAATACTGCATACATATATAACGCCTGACTTTTCAATGTATTGGTTACTTTGCCTGAACTGTTTCTGTACCCCCCCCCCACTATTAAGGGATGGCTGTATAAGAAGGGAAGGGGAGAATATGTTGGGTAGTGAAGGTGATATAAAAAGCTAGAGGGATGCGCCAGTCCTGGATTCAGGAAGACCTGAGTTCAAATCTGAACTCAGACACTTTCCTTCTAGGGACTAATTCATTCTGTGGGATAGGTGCTCACATTTCTGTCTTAGTTACTCTGCCCATAAAGTCAGGAAAGTAATTCCAGCCCTATTCAACTCATCAAGACTGGGAGAACAAAGAAGAGAAATTTTATAACAAGGAAAAGTTTTGTGAAAGAATGTTGAAACACTATTACTATTATTTTAAGCTTTAGTGTGGTCTAGTGTTCCTTGGTATCTCTTAACTTTGTTCTGCCTTTGCCTCCAACAAATCCTCCTACCTTGGAGACCCGTATTACTCTGTCCTTGCTTTCTTATTTTCTCAGTGCAGGAAGAACTGCAGGTGGGGCTCCTGCTAGGATTCCACAGAATAGGTGCCCAGGAAACTCAAAGGGACTCCAGGGGCCAGTCTTTGCACTCGTTGGTACTTTTCTGCATTGCAGAAGTCCAGAAAGTCTGCTTTGAAGGCAGGCTGTTTTGGAACAAGGGTTTGGGGTACTCTGAACAAATAATTGATTTAACTGAGAAGAGTAATTTGGGGGTAGGCAAGAACTGCATGGAAGTCAGACAGAAAGGGGGGACTTCTGGCCGAGGTGCATCTGACCCAGAGGCAGCTCCCTGTGAGGCAGGTGCGGAAGTGCACGGTCTTGGAGCCTGTCTTGTAGTCTTGAGGAGGTGCTCTGTGGGAAGGGTATTCCCGGAGTCTGGAAGTGGGGGGGGGGGGCGGAAAGGGGGCAGGGGGGGGCTGGGCATGGACTGGCTGGGGGCGGGGAGGAGGCGTGTGGGAGGCGGGGCGGAGGCGGCTGGAGCCCCCGGGATCCTCTGGCCCAGCTCGGGCCCCAGCACTCCGCGCCCGCCGCGCGCTGCTGCCATCCTTCCTGCAGCCACGGAAGGGTAGCTTCTCGATCTCCCGGAGCCACGGAGAATGGCACTGAGCCACGGAGAATGGCACTGAGCCCCACCGGCAGCAGGAACCTCGGCGGCTGGGACTAGTTGGGCTTCGTACCCCTTTCCCTCGCCTCGCCGGGCTTCAGAGCCCGGAGCCCGCCCTCCCGCACGCCCCCCTCCTCCTCTCCAAGTGGGCCGACTTCAGGGGTCCCACCAGGGCAGGGTCGAGTCCGTCCGGACTAAAAAGAGCGCGGACTTTCCTTGTCTAACCTCCCTCCACCCCGTACAGACACACTCGAAGGTCGGGGGTCGCCAGCCCCTTGCCCTAGCAAACAGAGCCACGGGAGGCTACAAGGGGATCTCGGGGTGCAGAAGAGAACGCCCGGGGCTGGGTTCCTCCGAGCGGGCGCGATCGTCCACGCCTGCTTCCCAGACTTCTCCCCCAGCTCCCGGGTTTCGGATGAGGAGTTCAGCGCGGCGGGAGGCGGACCAGGCGGAGCAGTGAGCTAAGGGAGTTGGAGTGGGGGGTGTGCTGTGCTTCAATTCAGTGGCCCCCTTCCTGGCCCAGCTGGGGCAGTGAGTGGGGTATCTTCTCCTGCCTGTCTCTGCCGCCTGCTTCAGAGGGGGTGGGGACAGAGATCCCCCACCCCCTTCACCCCCTACTGCCACCCGGGCTGGAGGAAGGAGTCTTTCCGAGGGGGGGAGGGGAACCTTGCGAGCCTCGAGAGGACAGAGCAAGACATGCAGGTAAGAGAGCTCGGCTGGGCTTCCAGCTTTGGGAAAGAGAGGGTGGGGGTGGCTTCAGAAGCACCCTCCCTCATGTTCTGGGGAGGCATGAAGGAAAAGCAACGGGATTCCTCCCTTTGCTGAACTTACCCAAACTGCGGCTTTAAAAATGATTTCTGCCCTCTCTGCGCCGCCGCCGCCGCCCCCCCCCTTCCACCCCAACCCCAATTCAGACGGGGGTAGGTTGGGAGGGGAGGGAGGGTTCCTTCTAACTTCAGTCCAGATTATTTTTGCTCACTTTGTAGCTTTAGAATACAGGGCTGTCTTTCTCTAAGGACGTGGTAATGGAAAAGGGGGAACGTGAGCAGAACTCTAGCGGCTCTGTGAGCTCGCCAGTTCTTTATGAGACTTTGTCGTATAGATCAGTGAGCCCTGGTCAGCAGGCCACTTAAACCCCAAACTCTATCGGGTGGGGGATGAGAGATTTGGGGAGTGGGTAGCAAAGAGGACAGGGAAGTCTATCAGCTCTATCTTAGACTCATCTAAGAAACAAAACTGGACGGGGCTGCCTGTGTGTGGGAGGGGAGAAAAGCTCCCTCCCTCTCTGGCCCTGCCTGCTGGCTTTATTTAGCTTTGTTGTAATACTGGTGTTCGAGAGCACACTAACTCGTGGAATAGTCAGGTAGGGGATAAGGTTTCCCAGCCAGCCACTAGCCTACTAAGGACTCCCTCCACTTGGGTTGTTCTGGAGTTTCACTTGGGGCTCTGTTATGCCCTATGCTGACCTAGCTATTGCTCCTAAGGTAATAGCGGGATTGCTTGGAATGGGTCTGGCACCTGGGTGTGTAACTAATTGAAAGAGTTGGCTTCACGATTACCATCACTTCCAAACTGACTGGGGAAAACGGTAGCCTTAAAGCCTTTCAGTCCACCAATCAATCTACAAGCAATTTTGAGGCACCTATTATATATATTCCAGGCACTAGGTTCATTATGGGAGGTAAAAGACAAAAACAAGACAGTCCCAGGCCTCAAGGACCTGGTGTGTGTGTGTGTGTGTGTGTGTGTGTGTGTGTGAGAGAGAGAGAGAGAGAGAGAGAGAGAGAGAGAGAGAGAGTATAGGAGCTACATACATACACAGTAGATACAAGGTAACCCCAGAGAGAAGCCATTAGCAACAACCAGAAGACGTATCCTACCCAAGGTAGCACTTGAGAGATTCTAAGAGGCAGAATTCCAAGAGGAGAGAGCATTCCAGGCATGGAAGACAGACAGACAATGCAGAGGCACATTGAACCTGTGCACAGATTTTTTTTCAACCACTTCTTCAGACTTCAGTTGCCCTTTTTTGCTTCTTCATAGCATCATCAAGATAGGGAAGAAGAATACATATGGATTTTTTTTCTAGTTCCACTAGTTTGGAAACTGAATTCCTGCTCAAACCCAAGGAGCCTTGAATGTGGAATTCAAGTTTTCTCTATTTGCTTCTCACTTCCTTACACCTTTGCAAAATATACAGCATCCATACAGAAGGGGAGTGGGAAATGACCTGTGTTTCTAATCTATTCACTCTGTGGGACCTCAGGGAACTATGCCAAGAACCTTATAGTTAGCTAATACCAAGCTTCTTATATATTCTCATTCTCCCTATCACCCTGGGAGATAACTCCCAGGTAATTATGAATTCCATTTGACCGAGAGAGAAACAGTATCCTGGGAGAGAAATGATTTGCCCAAGGTTGTCCAATGAATCCTAGACCACATTTGCAACTACTTTCAGTTGCTACCAATCTGGGCAGAATTTCAACCTGAAACATAGAGAGAAAGGCTCAGGATCATGTTACCAATCCCCCCCGAACTGCTCCATCTCCTGAGGAATGTGCCTGTTTGACAGAGTTGTGGAGAGATGATCTGTCCCTCCATGCCATGGATGCAGGTGCAGAAAAGGCTGGGGACAGCTGTGCACTTTCACATTTCTGGCTAAATACCAACATTCTCACATGCATGGGCAAAACTACACTGTGTCCCACCTTCTTTGGCTAGCACTAAACAGTGTTTGTGCCCGCTCTGCCTACACATTTCCCAGCAATCGGAGTGCCCTTTCCTACATTTGCAAAGGGAGATGATCACAGCTGTCCACACACACATTTGAGCATAAGCTTAATTTGCCCATGGAGATTGAATTTAAGAAGGTTAAGGCATTCACTACTTGACTGTCAGACATACTTAACACTCGCTCTTCCTCATGCACACATGCTTTCATATATACAGGATTCCTAGCGCAAACACCATTGGAGATGGAAAGATGGTATTCCTCAATTTGAAAATTCCACCCATTCTACTGTCCATCAATGAGCAGTTTTTGTGGTCAATACTAGCAAGAGGGATAGAGAGGATCCCTCTTCACAAGAAAAGACAACTCTGAGAGAGACTGTTTCTGTTTGCACAATTATTGGGAGGTAGTGCTAACAAACTGAGACAGGGGCTCTTAATTGGGGTGTCAAATCCAGAGAACCAGAGAAAGGACCAGTGTTGGACACTAAAAGTATGAAGGTAAAATTCATAGCAGGTAGAGGCTGTAGGTGATAAGGAAATGATATATGCAATAGATTACTGAGGGTCACAATCAAAGTCTTCTTTTTTTCTTTACTTTTTGCTTCTTAAAGAAATTAGGTGTTTGCAGGGGGAAACACTGTGGGGGTCTGCCTGTCAATTGAGAGCAAGGGCCAGACTTGGATGAGTTACCTGGCCCATTTCCACCTATGGATTTCCTATATTCCCAGGCTATCATTTCTGTGGGGGGGGGGGAGTATTTGCCCAGGAATTTGAAACCAGTCTCTTAGTTCATTTGGTGGTTGTAATATTATCTCAAAGTATCTCTTATTGACTTATTGAACAACCCCTTTGGGGGCCTTTTCCCCCTTAGTATTTCCAAAATGCAAAAGTTAAAGGGACAGTGCCAAATTATTTCAAATGATATGTTACAAAAGGAAATAGGAATGCTCTTCACCTGCAGAATTCATACTCTTTTTGATAATGACTGCTGAAAAAAAAACCCTGTCATTTATTTTTCACATTTTTATGATTCTACTACCATGACCATCAGCTCTACTTTCTCTTTTCATAGTTCAGAGGGTAGGAGCACTAGTCTGATCTGTTTCTTGTCTCTTTCTCTTTCCCTCTCCCTCTTCCCTTTTCCTCTCTCTGTCTCTCCCTCCCCCTCTTTCTCTTTTATTCATTCAGTCATTCATTTATTATGACAGCAATTTCTGTTGCTTTTTAGATTCCTCAATGTCTAGGACCTCTAAGTCTAGATCTACAATGTGTCAGTGGACATTTATATGGAATTACAAAAAAAAATTATCACCGAAATGAAAACCAATAGAGTGAATCAAAACTTTCCCAACTCTTTTTAAGAGATGTTTTTTTGTTTTTGCTTTTGTTTTTGTTTTTTGCTTTTAAAAAGGGCTTAACTATTCATTAGACTTGGAGTCAGAAAACCTGGGCTCCTGTTCTGTAGAGTAGTAGAAAGAGCCCTGAATTGGGAGTCTGAGGATCTGGCTCCCTTAACCAGTCACTTCACTTTTCTGAGCTTCAGTTTAGTCATCTGTATTAAAAAAAAAAAAAAAGTGCTTAATCCACTCTAGTCCCAGGGCTGTTGGAGAATCAAATAAGATAATGTATGTAAAGTGCTTTGTGAAATAGTTTACAGAGCCCCAGATAAGTGCCAGCCATTTTTCTTCTTTACCATTCATTGTATCACTCCTGGGATTGAATCCAGGAATCGAGTGTTGAGAGTTTTGGAGCTACAATATCTTTCTGGTGTCTAGGTGTAAACATTAGGTCCTCATAGGACCTTGAGAGTTGAAAAAAGAACCCCCCCCCAGAAAAAAAACCCCAGATCTAGCTATATAACATTTCCTCTGTGGGGAGAGGTTGTAGGGGGGAGAGGGCAGAATATAGAATTACCACTATTTGTGTAGCATCTCCATGTGACATTTATTCTTTTTCCTTAGGGACTCTCATCTTTAGTTTCTCTTGATTTCTGCAAACTGAATTTTGCCTTCGGGACAGGAAACCCACAGAACAATTGAGGATAGGCACAATGATGAAAATAAAAAGATGTTGGATCATAAAACCCTAAAATTGGAAGGAACCTTGGATCTTATCTAGTTCAACCTGTTAACTGGGATCTCTTCTGTAATTAATCCTGACAAATGATTGTCTAATTTTCCCTTGAAGACCTGTAGAAATGAGGAGCCCACTACCTCTTAAGGCAACTTTTGGCCTTTTGGGGGTAGTTTTAATTGTTAGGATTTTTTTTTCCTTCATATGATTATAGATTTAGAACTAGAAAGGGACCTTTAAGGTCATCTAGTCCAACCTTTCCATTTTATAGATTAGGAGATTGAGGCCCCAAAAGAATGTGATTTTATTAAGATCACATACACAGCAAGCAGGAGACAGGATTCAAACCCAGGTTCCCTATCTTAAAATCCAGTGTTTTCTTTCTACCACAACACCTTGTCTCTCTACTGAGCCAGAGTCTACCTTCCTGTGACTTCTACTCTTTGCTCCTGCTTCTCCCTTCTGTGGCTAAGTAAACTGAGTCCATTTCCTCTTCTACCTGGCAGCCCCAGACACTTCACATGATCCTAGAATTGCAACAAACCTCAGAGGTCATCGAGTACAACCTCCATCTGACAAGAGTCCCCTTTACTATATTTAATAAGTGGTCAGTTCATTTTTGTGGGAAAACCTTCAGTGAAAGGAAATCTATTATCTTCTAAGATAGCCTGTTTCATTTCAATGAAGAAGTTTTTCCTTACATCAAGCTCTGATTTTTTATTTTTATCCCTTTTTCCTACTTCTTTTCCCTGGGGAAAATCAGCATATCTCTATTCCTTCATTAAGATCTTCCCCCAGTCCCAAGTCTTCCCTTCTCCAAGAAAAATATCTTAGGTTCCTTCAACTGATTCTCATTCCTTATATAGCATGAATTCGATGTCCTCCAACCCCCT